CGAACTGATACGTAAAGAGTGTATCGACGCCCCTACCCTAACGGAAAAGCAGATCCACGACAAGAGCAAAGGCAATGCGATATCGAAAGGATTGATCATGCTTCAAGTGGCCTGGTTTATTTGCAGCTCATCACCCGCGCTATCTATCGCCTCGAAACCACCCAGCTCGAAGTGGGGACACTCGCTTTTGCAGTTCTCAATTTCCTCACTTATGCTGTGTGGTGGAATAAACCTCTCAATGTGCAATGTCCACATCCAGTGTACTGGAAGTCGACCGAGTCAAGGCCAGAGGATCACATTGATGAAGAGTATGTACGTGCCTCAACAATTATACCGCTGCTGATTATGTCTGCCTTAGTGTCAGTATATTCGCTTGGTTTAGGATCTTGGATCAGTCCTCCGCTTCACTCGGTTTGGGATTTTGGCTCAAGTATTCGGCCCAATTGCAGAACTGATAGGCTTGCCTCATATTCCCACATCTCGAAAGCTCCGAGTTCCAACATTTGATGGCAGCATCAAACTCCAAGGTTCGAGCAAGACGGTTCTTCGGCTTGCTGCACTGCTTATGGCAACCATATTTGGCGGCATCCATTGTATGGCTTGGTTTTTTGCCTTTCCCACATACCAGGAACAGGTGCTATGGCGCATCAGTGCCGTCGCTATAACTTTCACACCTGTGGTTTGTTTTCGTGTTTACTTCTTACCCGGTTCGGTACAGTACATCCTGGGGTTTGCATATGATCTGATTTGTCTCCGCATTCGTCATGTTGTACACACAGCTCGTGCCGTCCTCTTAGTATTTATGTTCACACTTTGCGCGATCTTCCTCCTGACGCATACAAGGCGGTGTCTTGGACTAGTTTTGTGCCGCACTTATAGTTATGATCTTGGTACTTGTGATATACTTCATATCTTCTGTAATGATATTCAGATGGCAGCATTCTTGTGGACCATGGCCGATGAGAGCTATGTCGCGATCACATGACCTGCACGTGTAGCATGACGCGAACCGAACAAACTCTGTCCAGTCTTACTTGAACTTGCTCATCACCATGGACAACAGCGAAATAGGGTTATTTGGTACGCTGCGGCTGATGAAACGGATGACCGATGAGCAGGTAGCAGCATCCTTGATCGATGAGGAGACAGTTACCTTTGGACGCAACCCGGCATGCACTATTACCCAGAGATCAATACTCTGCACGCGGACATTGCAATGTTTCCGAAAAGAAAGGTGCGTGACTTATTTGCCTATAATACCCACACACACCGACATCTTTAGAAATTAACCATTTACGCTGGCAAGCTTTCAATCCTCGTCGTCTTTGGCGAAGCACGCGTCACCATCGACGGCTGTAGATGGAGTTAAGACCGGATTCTGGAGGACACGAGTGAGTGCGAAGGAGAAGATGGTGAGTGCATGGCTTATTTTTTCGAGGTGGGGAGTCAGATATGCGGATGATGGGAGTGTACAGCCGGCGTTTTGAATTGAATTGATTTTTATGAGCTAATACAGGGTGCATATACGTGGGCACACGGGGAGCTCGTCGTGTCTTCTTAGTCTCTTCCTTGCGCATCGTCCGCTAATCTTTGCTTCTCTTCATTGTGCAACACCATAAACTTTACCGGTGACTCATCTCCCAGTGACGCCTCTTCCGGATAGCCACCAACCTGGCATCCTGTATCGTCCACGAAATCCCTATGCTCATTACCTGCCAATATGTCGATGCTAGGGTGTACAGGTTGTTCGGATTATCTGTGTCCTCTGGTGTGGAGTTCTGGATCATCGATAAGACTTTCCGATTCCCTCCTTCCACTGCAAGCTGACACACCAAAGCCCCAGGAAGCGCCTCGTTAATTTTATCTTGAAGAGGATCAATATCATTCTCTGTCCGCCGCATTTTAGCATGGCCTAAAACCCACTAGACTTTGGCTGACAGACCCTTGAAGATGATACACACGGTATACGCTGAAGCAGTGCAGACTCAAACACCGTCAAGGAGCCGATTCGTCGACCAAGTACGTGGCGCAGATATTTCGATGCTGTACATGCACGCGTTGTCATGGTCTTTCTGCTCGAGTTCCACTGCGCCCACACCGACAGATGAGAACACGCTACGGAAGTTGCCTTCCATATGCCTTAAACACGCCATATTCTTAATTTTATCGTGCATGTGTGCCAACTTATGACTGTATTATCGATAAAGGGTGGCAAGGCTGCAGGACTAGCGTCTATCGTGCCGATCAGCCACTAACAATATGGTATTACACTCACGTGCAGCTTGCCCTGAACCCAACAGCTTGTTAGAGGTTCCTTGGTCTGCGAATTCTCCCAGACAGTAAAATGGACACACTGAAATCTGCCGAAAGAACTGTTCAACCATATGCCGCATCAACAAAATCTAGCCAAGTTTCTCGTGCTGTGTGGTGGAGCGGGTGAACTTGACCATGACATCTTGAGAAGCCCAACTTGAGTATTTCTTCGTCACATCAATCTGCTAGAGCGAGAGTCATCTGTGCGAATAACAGCTGAACAGGCAACAAGAATGAGAATGAGAATGAAACTAAACGTACGATTGATACGCAAGACAGTACGCCCTGCGCCACCATGCAGATGTACCTGTGAAACTGGGTCGATTCGACCACGATCGAGAGGATGTCGTGGATCAGTCTGAGCGAAATGGGCGAGAAGTTATTCGAGAAAGGAAGAGTGCCACATGTCATGATAACAATAGGACATGCCCTTAAATGCAAGTTGAAAGGATGCATCGTGATATGTGACATGGGATGTTCCGCCCTGATCGAAAGGAAGGGCCTAAAAATCTGAGATCTTCCCTATAAGAGAGTCAAACATCCTGAGGGGTTTGAGATACGTGTCTCCTAGATACTGTCTGTGATATTGAGATCCGCTAATGTATTTTGGCGATGGATGCCACAGGTCTGGAGGTCCTTTCCACTCCAGGATCATCGTGAACCTGCGCGGCCACCAGAATTCAGAAATAGTAAAGAAAGTGAAGCGCGAGTTTGAACCCCTGAGCCGATGAAGCGTTTATGGTCAGTGTTCGAAAAAACAGGGTTGCGGCTGTGGGAATCCCTCGAGCGCTTTTGTACGATCTCAGCATTACTCCAAGACACTCAGTACGACCTTGCCAAGAAATTGACGGGGGCAAGGGTTGGCCATAGATGGTCACAAGCCTTGAACTGGTTATACTCGATTTATTGCAGTGTTGGGCGCTAGTAACTTGATCGATTATTACTTCCAAGTTCCCATCGCTTGCCATGCTACAAACATCAGGCAAGCCAGGCCGCCTCATTGTACATTGTACTGCCTTGAGATGACGCCCGCCAGTAACATACAAATAGCGAACAGGATGCATACGATACATCCCAAAGGTGACATCCGATAATGCGCTTACTACTAGTACTTCTTTGCGTCTTCCTTTACCTCTTTGGAGTAATCCAGGCTTCACCTACAACAAATACAACAAATACTACTACTAGCGACAGTTTTAAAGCTCCAACATTCGCGACCAGAACCATATGGTCCATCATCTCCAGCTCCGTTCTCACTCTATTTGCTTGCATATACAGCGCCATTCACCCTAATATTCCGAGTCCCAAGGACAGCCCCCTTCTTATCCTGCGGCGCCGACTTGGGATCATGATAATGGCACTCATCGCTCCTGAACTTATCGTCACATGGGCTATGCGCCAGTGGATCAGCGCTTGCCGTGTTACAAGACAGTTCAAGGAATCGGGATTTTTTAAGGTTTCTCAGCAGTCTGAAAGTGAATCATTCTTTCTGAAACTGAATATGTTCGTCGACAACTCACTATGCACGTCCTTAGATCATAGGTCCATCGCAGCAACTGCAGAGCAATATGTTGAAGGTGAGCTCGACATTCTATTTTGCACCCCGAATCCGCCTCCTCATGACTTCCATGCCTGCTTCTCAAGATCATGATAGGACCCGGCTTCTCTTAGCGCATCCCGAAGGTGAACCGTCATCTATACTGGTGTTCCTTCAGCGGTTCATATTACTCCAGCGCCCACCCCAGAGACTCGTGCTCTTGCGAAGCCATTCAAAAAGTTGTTTAAAGCTTATGTTTCAGAGCAATCTGAAGGTAAGCTTGATTCGTGTTCATCTAAACGTTGACTCATGTGCATCCTTAGATTACACGTGGACTCAGACGCACAGCTTCTTTGTGCTGATGGGTGGTTTCATGCTCTATGTGGACGGGAAACCCTACCACACACTACAGCCTGACGAGGTCCTCAAGCTGATACGTGCCGGGTGTATCGACGCCCCTACCCTCACGGCAAACCGGATCCATGACAAGAGCAAAGGCAATGCGATATCGAAAGGATTGGTCATGCTTCAGGTGGCCTGGTTTATTATGCAGCTCATCACCCGCGCCATCTATCACCTCGAAACCACCCAGCTCGAAGTGGGGACACTCGCTTTTGCGGTTCTCAATTTCCTCACCTATGCTGTGTGGTGGAACAAGCCTCTCGATGTGCAATGTCCGTATCCAGTGTACTGGAAGTCGACCGAGTCATGGCCAGAGGATCACATCGAGTATGTATGCGCCTCAACAATTATACCGCTGCTGATTATGTCTGCCGTAGTTTCTCTGAAATAGACGAATTCACTTGGTTTGAAATCTTGTTTCGCGTAATCTTGGTCCCAATTGTAGAACTGCTGGGGGTGCCTAGCCTTCTTCCATCTCGAAAGCTCCGAGTTCCAACATTTGATGGCAGCATCGAACTCGAAGATTCGGCCACGATGGTTCTTAAGCTTGCAGGATTGCTTATGGCAACCATATTTGGCGGCATCCATTGTATGGCTTGGTTTTTTGCCTTCCCCACATACCAGGAACAGGTGTTATGGCGCATAAGTGCCGTTGCTATAACTTGCACACCCTCGTTTGTTTTTCTCACTATATCTATCGTTGAAGTCCTGAACCCATCAAATGCGGTGGCCATCCCGATCCTTGCATTATATGCTCTGTTGTACATCACAGCTCGTTCTGTCCTTTTGGTACTTATGTTTGCCACCCTACACAATCTTTCTCCTAACGCATACAAGGCGGTGTTGTGGACTAGTTTGGTACCTCACTTATGATTTTTGATCATGGCACTTACTTGTAATACACTTCATACTTTTGTAATGATATTCAGATGCAGTATTCTTGTGGTTGATGACGGAGCTAGGTACATGAGTTGTTTTGCGACCGCTATGAACAACGCGATCACATGACCTGCACGTGCCATGACGCGAACCGAACAAACTCTGCTTAAGTTTTGTTTAAACTTGCTCATCACCATGGATGGCAGCGAAATGGGGTTGTTTGGTACGCTGCTGCTGATGACACGGAGGACTGACGAGCAGGTAGCAGTATTCTCAATCGTCGAGCAAACAGTTACCTTTGGGCGCGACCCCACATGCAGTATGTGCCTCTATGATCACCCAGAGATCAGTGCTCTGAACGCGAAAATTGTGTTTCTGGAAAGAAAGGTGTGTAGATTATTTTCCTATAATACCTACATACACTGACATCTTTAGAAATGAACTGGAAAGCTTTCAATCCTCGTCGTCTTTTGGCGAAGCGCGCCTCACCATCGACGGCTACGAAGGGAGTGAAGGAGAATATAGGGACCGGATTCTGGAGGACGCGAGCCAGTGACAAGGAGCAGTCGGTGAGTACATGCCTTTCTGTTTTGTGCTCTTGAATCTTTTGGAATTAGGGAGTCGAAAATGTGGTATGATTCGATCTAAGCCTATTACGAGCTAATGCAGGGTACATGTACATGAGAGCATGGGCAGCTTAAGCTTGTTACACATCACGTCTTCTCCTTGTATTATATGTCAATACATGGCGCACATGTGCCCCCTTTGCCACTTCCTGGTGTGTTGCTTGTCTATCCTTGCCATGTGTCTCCCCAAAGCGCGTCTTCTAACTAGCCCCCACCCCAAAGGCCATCCAAGAGCGCCATGAGTCAGTGCCCACTACACCCGATCCTTCCTTTGCATAGGTACCGGACAGTTATCTGTCGCACCCTCTACACCCTCTGCCCCTTTGGGAGCGAGTGATGGGACCACGCAGAGGGCTGCTGATTATGTCTGCCTTAGTCACAGTGAAAGAGATGAACTCGCTCCGCTTGGGATTGGCTCCAGTTTTCCGCCCAGCTATAGAACTGACAGGCTTACTCAGTGCTGTCCCTACATCTCGAAAGCACCGAGTTCTAACATTTGATGGCAGCATCAAACTCGAGGATTTGGACACAGCGGTTCTTTTGCTTGCTGGATTGCTTATGGCAACCACATTTGGCGGCATCCATTGTATGGCTTGGTCTTTTGCCTTCCCCACATACCTGGAACACTTGCTATGGCGCATCAGTGCCGTCGCTATAACTTGCACACCCTGGCCTAGTCTCTTCTCTTTATTTCTCTTTAACGACCTGAACATGCCGACTGTGGTGTACATTATTGTGTATGCATTATATGTCATATTGTACGTCGCAGCACGTGCCATCCTTTGGGTACTTATGTTCACCACTTTACGCGATTTTCCTCATGAGTCGGAGTCATGACTCGGACGTATTCAAGGTGGTGTTGTGGACTAGTTTAGTACCACACTTATAGTTCTTGATCATGGTACTTGTGATACACTCCGTACTTTTGTAATGATATTCAGATGCAGCATTCTTGTCGTCGACGACGGAGCTAGGTACACACATGCCCATGCGCAACCGCCATGAACGACGCGATCACATGACCTGCACGTTTGGCATGACGCGAATCGAACAAACTTGAACAAACTCTGCTGGAGCCTGGAGTGTTCCTTGAAGTTGCTCATCACCATAGACGGCAACGAAATAGGGCTGTTTGGTATGGCTGAGGCGGCAAACAGATGACTAATGAACGGGTAGCAGCGTTCCCGATTGACGAGGAGACAGTTACCTTCAAGTTTGGGCGCAACCCCGACATGCAGCGCCCGTCTCCGTTTTCCAGAGATCTATGCTCTGCACGCGGCAATTGTGTTTCTGGAAAGACAGATGCGTGACTTATTTGCCTATATTGTGTACAGTGAATTTGCAACGACGACCTGATTTAGGCTTGATATCATAGTAAGCTTCACTTTTAGCAAAGCGTTTCATGATGCGGGTAATTGTAGTGCGGTGGAGTTGAAACTTTTCAGTGAGGTCTCCATCAGACATGCCAGCAGCTTTGTCTTGGCAGATTCGAGCTTTCTTTGTAGGAGTTGTGTATTTTGTCATGGATGACTAGTGACAGCAAGGGTGTAGAATGAGTTCGCAAGTGGTGCAAGTGTGACGTTGTGCGGCAACGAGCCGACAAACACATTTTCTGTAAAGTCACACTAAACCTAAAAATGAAATGCACAGCATTCTCTTCACAAATATCTGGACAGCTCTCTCAGAAAGCCAAGTATCACAATAAAAGCATATGGTATTGAAAATATAGACCTAGTACACTACACTGCGACAAGTGAAACGACACAAAATGGTCTATTGCTCGAGTGCGAGGAGGAATAGGAGAAATGTCGATGCTGTGCATTTCCTTTTTGAGTCACTGTATCTTGTTTTCGTAAACTTCGGAACGCTCGCGAGATAAGACCAGCCTATTTTCAATCTAGCCTCATTGTACTGACGCCCGCCAGTAAAATACAAATAGTGAACAGGATGCATACCGTGATACACCCAAAAGTGACATCCAATAATGCGCTTACTAGTTTTCTGTGTCTTCCTTTACCTCGTTGGAGTAATCCAGGCTGCACCTACAACAAATTCAACAAATACTACTACTAGCGACAGCTTGAAAACCCCATCATTCACGACCAGAACCATATGGTCCATCATCTCCAGCTCCCTTCTCACTCTATTTGCGTGCATATACAGTGCCATTCACCCTAATATTCCGAGTCCTAAGGACAGCCCCCTTCTTATCCTGCGGCGCCGACTTGGCATCATGATAATGGCACTAATCGCTCCAGAACTGATCGTCACATGGCTATGCGCCAGTGGATCAGCGCTCGCCATATTACGAAACAGTTCAAGGATTCAGGGTATCCCAGTGTTCATCCTGAGCAGGAGCAGTCTGAAAGTGAGTTGTGCTTTTGGAAACTCTACATCTCACAACTCACTATACACGTCCTTAGAGGAGGCTGTTAAAGCGCCTGAGCAACGTGAAAATCGCTTCCTTCGCTTCCTGGTAGCGCTTGCTAAAGGTGTATCATCTGTGCTGGTGTTTCTTTGCCGTTTCCCTGGTGCTCTCGCGACGCGGGTCAAAAGGTCGATTAACTCTTATTCCTCAGAGCAATCTGAAGGTAAGCCCGATTCGTACTCACCTAAACGTTGACTCACGTGCATCCTTAGATTATACGTGGACTCAGACGCACAGCTTCTTTGTGCTGATGGGTGGTTTCATGCTCTATGTGGACGAGACACCCTACCACACACTACAACCTGACGAGGTCCTCGAGCTGATACGTGCCGAGTGTATCGACGCCCCTACCTAACGGCAAAGCAGATCCATGACAAGAGCAAAGGCAATGCGATATCGAAAGGATTGGTCATGCTTCAGTTGGCCTGGTTTATTATGCAGCTCATCACCCGCGCCATATATCACCTCGAAACCACCCAACTCGAAGTGGGGACACTCGCTTTTGCGGTTCTCAATTTCCTCACTTATGCTGTGTGGTGGAACAAGCCTCTCGATGTGCAATGTCCGTATCCAGTGTACTGGAAGTCGACCGAGTCAAGGCCAGAGGATCACATTGAGTATATATGCGCCTCAACAATTATACCGCTCCTGATTATGTCTGCCTTAGTATCTATGAAAGTAACCAAGGCGTTCGGAATGGGTTTGGGATCCTTTACCCAGTCTTCCGTCCTATTTTAGAAACTGATGGGTTGGCTTGACATTCCCACATGTCGAAAGCTCCGAGTTCCAACGTTTGATGGTAGCATCCAACTCGAAAATTTGGACTCGATGGTTCTTCTACTTGCTGGATTGCTTATGGCAACCACATTTGGCGGCATCCATTGTATGGCTTGGTTTTTTTGCCTTCCCCACATACCAGGAACAGATGCTATGGCGCATGAGTGCCGTCGCTATAACTTGCACACCCTGGCTTGCTTCCCTCACTGTATATCTCTTTTCCGTAGCCGACCTGAACCTATCAGGTGCGGTATACGCCGCCGGTGACCGTCACTGTGACGACCTGTGCATTATATGTCGTGTTGTACGTCGTAGCACGTGCCATCCTCTTGGTGTTTATGTTTACCACTTTACGTGATCTTCCTCCTGACGCATACAAGGCGGTGTCATGGACTAGTTTAGTGCCTCACTTATAATTCTTGATTATGGTACTCGTGATACACTTCATACTTTGTAATGATATTCAGATGCAGTATTCTTATGGTCGACGATGGAGCTATGTACACAAGTCGTTCCGCAATCGTTATGAACAACGCGATCACATGACCTGCATGTGACGCGAACCAAACAAACTTGAAAACAAACTCTGCCCAAGTCTAGCTTGAACTTGCTCATTACCATGGACGACAGCGAAATAGGGCTATTTGGTACACTGCGGCTAATGAACCGGACAGCTGATGCAGCAGGTAGCAGCATTCCCGAACGACGAGGAGACAGTCAGCTCTGGGCACGACCCGACGTGTAGCGTCCGTCTCCAGTATCCAGCGACCAGTGATCTCCACAAGGAAATTGTGTTTTTGGAAAGAAAGGTGCGTGGATTTTCTGCTCATAATACCTACACTGATACCTCTGGCGAGAGAAGCATATCGCCAACCAAATTCGGGGAGAGAAGTCCGTCGCCCACCAAGTTCGGGGAAAGAAAGCGTATTCCCTATGATCGCCTTCAAAGGCTCCGCTGATGCTGGTTAGGATGGAGCGGACTGTCTAGGAGATAACGCGGGGTAGGATGAGCCGTGACACGTACTGATTAAATATAGCAGACGCGCCTGCGAGGGAAGAAATGTTAATCTTTGGCGAAACTGCCTCGAGGAAAAGCTCAATCGTCAATGCAATCGCGCAGGCCTCTGGCGATGCAATGGGATCCACTTGTACCTCTGAACACCACCCAGTCGATTCAGGCCAGAGATTCGTCCTGATCGATGCTGCGGGTCTCAATGAGAGGTATGTAGTTACCGTGGAGCTCCTTTCTGTCGATCATGCCCCAATTGCAAGTAGCTGAAGGCTGTATTTAAGCACATGATATTAATGTCTTGTCATGCTCTCGCTTACATTCACTTTCATTTCCATCATGTATCGGGTCGGTTTCGCGCCTGTTGACTTCTATCGTCTCCAATTGTTTGAATTATATGCTCCGAATATGCAGTATTCTATCTTGCAGTGTTAAATAACCGATGTGATCTGGATAAGAGTGGCGACACATCTATTATGCCGACCGACCACTGACGCCATGGAAATACGTGTATGTACAGCTTGCACTCAGCACTGAGCCCCCTCCCATTTCTTCTCTGGGTCCACAGAGTTCATCCAAAGCCTCAGTTCGCCATCACAATCATAGAAGTTTGAGGCTTGCAAAGCGCAACGCTTGCTGGAGGCTCATGGGAATTCCTGGTCTCCACGCCATGTTAGTCTCCCCTAGTTCGACCAAACGAGAAGGAAAACAGACGTTCCTTCTATATTATGGCACCATGTGCACAGGTGGACATACCTGCGAAATTGGCCCCAATCGACAGGACAGTCCAAGAAATTGGCGATAAGTGAGTAGGTCAAGATTCAATAAGGTTTGCAGCTTGCGTACGTCGGACTTCCAAATTCTAAATCTTGACATTGCCCACAACGACCAGCGCTATAAGTTCAAGCTTCAAGTCTTTAATACCGCATCGCATCCCTAGTAGCTCAAGTCAGTGAAGGTCACCAACAGAAATGACATGTCTGAGGAGAAGATGATGAAGCGGAAAGAGTTCATTACAGGCGACGATATTGATAGGAGGCCCACGGATATGCATGTGATACACCACTCAGTGTATATAACCTCCTAACTTTGAGTCTCCTCTAAGTTAGTAACAATGTCGGTCCAACTTGAAGTACCACTCATCTCGTTATCTGGAATCCGGCGACCATTGTTTCCTTCAGATCCACCAACCAACCAAGACATCCTAAAGGCAGTTTTCTTCCTTGAGGACGTGAAGAAGTTTTACCAGCCTCCCCGTAAGTTGTGTCGTGGCCCGAGCTTCTAATGACTACATAAAACGCCCACAGCATTCATGAGAAGAGTGCGCGGGGACGTACGTCAGGCAACTTTTCATGACATCGCGAAAGCGCAGCTGTATCTACACAAGGTGTGCAGCGCAGCCACGGCTGGGACAGGTGAAAAAGTAGAGCCTCAAGCCATCTTGGATCCCGAACCCATTCATACAAGGCTGGATCGGATGAATGAGACACTTGTTCGGATGATGGACGATTCCAGGATCCACGATTCTAGGATTCACCGTCTGGAGCAACAGCTTGACTCTGATTCCGCTGGACAGGGGTTCCAACACATGGAGCAGACATTGGAACCTGAGGCAAGTGAGCATCGACAGCGGTTCCGCCATCCAGCGATTGAAAACACACACTTGGTATTATAATTTCGATACTTCAATAATCGCTGCTCATGTCAACAACGTAGTTATATGACAGGAACCATTTTTTCAACGACTTACTACTGTACGAACCGATCCCGATCTGGTGGAAGAATGCGGATCGAAAACCGGAGATCGTTGGTATTTTTATTCTGTTATTCACATCAATGACGTCATATTCTCGATAGTTTGGATTGCCGCCTTTACGCACGAACAACGACTTCAACAACCTCACCGATAATGACTTGACCAAATGTCTTTATTACTACAAAGTTGACATTGATTATCGAAGTACTAGGGAAACGAAAATCCATTGCCTCCGATCCTTCATTATCGGTTGTTCGGTGAGTGTTTTAGATGTCTGTTTTCGTCGCGCTGCATTGACGACATGGACGTTAAAAGTCTCGTTCTGCTACGATCTGAACTAGCGTTCAGTTTTTCCACTCAATCTACACTAGCGTATAGTATACATCAAGCAGAAATGACTAAACGATAAAGGTCAAACCAAACATCCACCATGACTGCGATATCCAAGAGATTGATTATCCTGCAGGTGGCATCGTTTTTTCTGCAGCTCCTTTCCCGTGCTTCATCACGTCGAAACCATCCAGCTTGAGTCAATGTCACTTGCTTCTGTGTCGTCCCTTGTACTGCGCGGTGAAATAAGCCTTTCGATGTCCAGTCCTCATCTAGTTTACTGGAACTCGATCCCGTCCAAACCAGAGGACAACATTCACGAGCACGTTTACATCTCAATCAGCTGAACAGGCAATAGGAATGAGAACAAAACCAAGCGTATTTCTGATGCGCAATACAGTACACCTCGCACCATCGGTGCGTAGTAAGGATATAACTGGTTTATTTTGACCCCGATCGAGAGGACATTGTGGATCAGTCTGAGCGAACGAGAAAGGATGGGCCCCACATCACGTAGATAACAACAGGTCATACCCCGCAAGCTGTTGGGCCCGTTCCCTACAAGTTGGAGGGATGTATGCGTGCATTAGGACTAGTTCCGTCTCGATTGAGATGAAGGGCCTCCCGTACATCCAGGATCTTTCCAATAGAGTGTCGAGTATCCTGAGGGGTTTGAGATTCGCGTCCTAGACATTGTCTGTCAGTATCGAAATCCGCCGGTGCATTTTGGTGGTGGACACAGTAGTTCTGACAGGTTACCAAATCATACCAATGAAGTTTGCAGACATGCAGCGCACACCGATTGGGGTTCTTCCACTCCAGGATCATCCTGAAAGTTACCAGTACGTTCCGATGCATCATTTTCATCCACATACTGGTATTCCAAGCCCTCGTAAGTAAATCGTAAGTGACCACTGTCATAGATTTCAACCTCCTTTATGTTGGACTGGTCCTGAGTGTACCTCATAAGGACGTCTTCTCAATTGTGACGGCCGTCGCTTGGGCTTCTGGGTGGCTGGAAAAAGTTGTGCAGAACTTGACCAGCCCGTAGTGCGTCCTCAATGAACTCTGGCTGCGAAGCCTGCTATTAGATGGCCTCCTAATCGGTCCGTCCAAGCTCACCTTAATGCCTGAGCCTGTTGGAGAAGTAAGCCGCTAATCGAAAAACTCAGTCGGGAACGTGTCAGTTTCCAAATGGACCACCTTATTCATTGCGTTCTGCGCCCGCCTCTCGTCGGCCTTGCAGTGCTTTTTGCGGGCAGCAAGTTGCAGCAGGTGAACGCGACAGGTAGGAGGCTAGGAGCAAAGCGAGTCCAGTATGTTCTCCCCGTTTGGGCATTCCGCTTAAAGTCCTTTCCCTCTTAATCGATTGGCGATGAGGCTTTAAACGGGCGTGGGCTATTGTTGAGGTTGGGGAGTGGGACAGAAGATCCCGCTAGAACTGCCGTCTTGTCAGAGCGCGTGAGCTGGACTGCTGTTGTGATGAGCTTCTGAGTAATTCGTTTTGACTACGGCTTTGGCCTTCTGGAGAAGAGTCTGAGCGAGCTCCGGAATGTACAAGGTTGACTTACCTGCCTGAGTGCTCGAAGTGTAGCGTTTTGACATTTTAACAGTAGAGGTTTGAGAAAGTAACGATGTAGTAGGGATTATCACCTCCGGACGCGTGGCCAATCACAGACTGAATCGAATGCCACTTTAAGTTACTGAGGTAAAAAAAATTGGCTGGAGTGGGACTATTGTGCTTACCCGATGGCGTTGGAAATGACTCATTACGTGCCACTAGTACTGTATAACTCGATACGTCTCGACACGTTATGATTAGCAGAGCCCATTCTACTAAGTCAAAAAGCCCTGACCATAAGAGGGCGACATCGTATCCTCCTCCCTCTCTGCTCGAATTTTGAACCGAATGCAGTCGAGCGCGTTCGAAGGTGTCCAGTTCGCGTTCAGACCAGGTTCGAACGCGGAACCTGTCCAAACGTGTAAAATGTACTCGGTGAACGATTTAATGATGCAGATTTAGAGGTGTGAAAAGGACTCACTGTATTGGCTTCGTTGATTGTAACGCCAGCTCCGAAGTGTCTCTTGCGGGACTGATAGTTGGGCTTTCGTGTAGATGTGACCGATACATCCGCCTTGTACCTGAGCGATGAACACGGAAGTTATGAGCAGGAATCGACAGCGAATACCATCATATATGGCCAGGATATTGATTCAAGGAATCAAGGTTACTAATAGACGCCAAGGCCCAAATCATTGATCGTGAATTACGCGATCACATGACCTGCACGTGTGGGATGACGCGAACTGAACAAACCAACTTTAAGTCTGTCTTGCTTGAGCTCAACTCTGTCCTAGACTTGCTCATCATCATGGACGGCAGCGAAATAGGGCTGTTTGGTACGCTGCGGCTGATGAAGCGGACGACTGATGAGCAGGTAGCAGCATTCCCAATCGATGAGGAGACGGTTACCTTTGGACGCGACCCGACATGCAGTGTGCGCCTCTATTATCCAGAGATCAGTGCTCTGCATGCGAAAATTGTGTTTCAGGAAAGAAAGGTGCGTGGATTGTTCATCTAAATTTTCAGAACCTCTGGAACTCGCTAGCAGGCTTTTCTCGTCGTTCTTGGCGACGCAGGCCTCACCATCGATGGCTGCCCTGTGCTCCCATCCACTAACGCCTCCCTTCCCACAACAATCCCCGTCTCTAACAACTGCGAAATCGAAATCCACAAGAAACGTTTCATATTCTCCTACCCACCCAAGCAGCTACGTTCTTCACTATACAACATCGATTCACCGGTCAAGTCTGAAAATGGAGGAGGCGGCGGACGGAAGAAAATTACGAATGAGCATGATCCACAGCGCTCAAGTATTCACTCCTCGTGGAAAACCCTCTTCAGATCCACTCGCAAACCTCCGCATTCTCCAGAGCCCACTCAAGCAGCTCGTGCCATCCCCGCGCAAGCCCTCTGCCCTAAAGAACTCCCATGTCCCAGAACCAGACGAAATAGAAGAAGAAATTGTGCTTGTGGAGTCTAACACTCCACATGTCGTACAAGAGGATAAGGACCTTGTCATCCTCGAGCGTGTCGATGTCCAAGCGCCTCCGCCCACCCCATCTGTGCAAAGGCCAAGACCAAGTATGAACATATACAAGACTCCGAACAGGCGTACTCGCCCCTCGTTACACCGTGCCGTACTTATTCGCAGTGTACATCGTGCCGTCATGGCGCGCGAGGAAGAGGAAGAAGAGAAAGAAGTTGAGGAGGTGATCGTAAATGAGGCGACGGTAGAAGAGGGCGAGGAGCACGAAAACGATAACGACGAAGAATTTAATGACGAACAAGGAACTGCAGGAAACGAGCATGGAGAATCTGACGAAGATGGAAATGACGCTGACTTAGACACCATTGAGGAGCCTACTCCTCAACCAAGCACGTGGCGCAAATCTCTCAATGCTGTGCGTGCACGTGTTGTATGGCCTTTCCGCTCGAGCTCCACTGCGCCCGAAGAAAACGACGACGACAAGCAAGATGAACGCGAGGACGAAGAGGACGAGGTAAGTCTCCCCTTTGTTTCTCTTCGTCATACTAACTTCGAACACCAGTACGCTCAAATGGACACAGACCAGGACGCACAGCCCCCACCCCCATCCTCCTCTCCACCTCCTATTCACATCACACCCCGAGCCCAACCACACCTTACACCTGCAAGAGCCCCCCCGACCTCTAGGCTCATTTATGACGCCCCAAGTATCGCACCCACAATCAGACATTGGCGTTGGAATTGGTCGCGGTGCAGGACGCAACTCTTTTAGCGGAGCGTTGCGCGTACCGTTGCCTCCTGGTGTGTCTGCACTTGCACCGTCTGGTCCTGTAGAGACATGGGGAGGTGCGAAGAGAATACGCGTCGAGCCGAAGTGGCGCATTGGGGATATTGAGGTGCGAGGTGTGGAGGTGAAGGAAGAGGAGAAGGCAGGGACAGGATTAGGGAGGACACGGGTGAGTGAGGAGGAGAAGAAGGTGAGTGCATGCGTTTCCTTTTGTTTTTTTGGTACTTGGGAAGTGGAATGGAGGGAGCAGTTTGGGTTTCATTTGGAATTGCTTCTCTATGAGGGATTACTGTGATACAGGGTGTCGCGTTTGCCGCTTCCTGGCGTATCCCTCGTCTCCCTCAACTTTCCTTTCTTCCTTGTGTCATTTCTCCATGACGCGTCCTCCAACTAACCACCAACCCACAGGCCATCCAAGAGCGCCGTAAATCAGCGCTCACTACACCCGACCCTTTCTTTGCACAGGTACCAGGGCTGCGACGGCAGTCTGTCGCACCCTCCACACCCTCTGCCCCGGGTGACCGTAACACGCTACGGAAACTGCCCTCTCTGCTAGATTCTGTCGTCCGCACCGTCGGTGAGCGCAGTGCATCTCCCACCAAGTCAGGCGAGAGGAGCGTATCGCCGATCAAATTCGGGGAGAGAAGTGCATCCCCTACAAAAGCCCCCACCCATTCGCGTCCCTCATCCCCTACGAAGCTATTCTCTTCTCCTGTGAAATCGTTTTAAAACGCCTGCGAAGGCGTATACGCCTTTCGGGCGCCCTCCATCGCCTTTGAAGGCACCGCTGACGCCACATAGTGAAGAAGATGAGGAGGACACGCGAAGTTTGTTGGATCGGATGAAGCGAACTGTGGAGGAAATGAAACGACGTAGGAGTGTGGGTCCGTCTGGGGAGGATGAGCGTGAGTACGAGGAGGATGGTGAGGATGAAGACACAGCAGGCGCTGAGCAGCGAATGGATGTCGAGGAGAACGCAGAAGAAGACATCGGCGAGGAACCACAAACAGGTGAAGAAGAGGAAAACAGTGATAAAGAGAACGGCCTTGCATCATCGCTCCGAGAACCTCAGTCCATTTCACACCCTGAACCTGACCTCGAGACAACTGACCCATCCGAACACAGCCCTGCACCTCTCTCGCCCACGCGCGTCGCTCTTGACCTTGATCTCGAACTGGAGAGGACGCCACTACCCCAGCTCACGCGTCCCACCTCCCGCCCGCAGCACAAGAATGCATCGTCATTTGCGGGGCCGCAGACTCCTGCCCTCGCGTCACTCAAGCATCTCTTCCCTCCGCCAGCGCCGGTACCAAGTACGCCAGCAGTGAAGAGTATGCGTTCGCTGTTCCGCGGGGCTGGTAATGGTATCGGGGTGGAGATGGAAGAGGATGTATTGGAGGGTGTTGGAGAGATGATGGTTACACCTGAGGGGTATCGAGTACGTGTCGAGGACGTGGATGAACTGGAGGGTGAGATGGAAAGGGAGGAGCAAACAAACAGGAGAGAGACAGAGGAGCGACGCAAACCTGCAAGAACTACCTCCCGCAAGACCCCCGTTCCGGTTCCGTCTTCTGGGCCTGGGCCTACCACGACAGCAGCTCGTCGCCGCACAAGAACTACTACGGCCACGGGGGCTCCTGCCTCCAAGGAGAGGGAGTCATCGACTTCCAGGACTGTTTCTCGTGTGGAGACGGTAGTTACGAAAAGGGTGCCAATCGCACCTCCAAAACGTGCAGAGAAAGAGAAAGAAAAGGCAAAAATGTCAGAACCAGATGCAGAAGACAAAGCAGAGGAAGACGAAATTAAGGAGATTCCGCCTCAGCCCGCTGCACAAAAGAAACCTACGAGAGCGCGTCTGCTTCGTGCGCAGAAAGGGGTCGCAGCTGATAACTCGGTGTGCATCCTCTTCATAGGCCTTGTGAATAGCTAATCATAAGTTGTTATTTAGGATGAAGAGCCTGCCGTTGCGCCAAGGATGCGAGATGCCAGTACTGAGCCTAGGATGCGTGCTGCTAGTACTGAGCCTAGAGCTCGTGGGGCCACTGCCACAACAGCGAGAAAAACGAAAATGGATGCTGTTGAAACGGTACGTGCTGATTCTTCCTTTTTCCTATTGCAATTCCATATCTCATTTTACTCCCGCAGGTCCCAAAAGCCCGGGCGGCCCGCAGCCGTGCTACCCCTGTCCCAGTTGCTCGACCTGAGCCTGCGAAGGCACGCCCACGAGTTACTGCGAAACCAAAGACCGCAACCACGGCAACTCGTGCCCCCTCACGGAGTAAAATGCGTAGTACGGAAGACGACGACGATGCTGATGGGGATGACCCCCTTGATTCGATCGCGCAGCCTGAAGCCCCGGCTCCCATACAGAGGGCGAGACGCACGCGGGCAGTGACTGCACCTGTGAAAGAAGAGGATGTCGATATTCCGATTCCTGGGAAGGCGAAGAACACAACAACGACCCGCAGACGTGCGGTGACAGCGGTGGATAAGGAAAATACCCCGTCGAGTTCGAAAGAGGATGAGGGTGAGCGGAAGAAAGAGGTGGAAGTGAAGCGCACGACGCGGGCAACGAGATCACGAGCGTGAAGTTGTGTCGAATGGAGTTTTTTTTTGTTTAGTTATCTGTCCTGAATTTCTCCGCGAAACGATTGTAATCACCTTACTATGTAAAGTGTTCGAGTGACATGTGTACTACTATAGTATGCGAGCCTGGGACGAACAAACTACTACTGGCTATATTGACTTTCTACCGACTCAGCCCTCGTCTAAGCTCTGGAGCACTTGCGAGTATGTCATGTGCCGTCCGCCAAAAATAACAGGTACATCTACTTTCTCCCACTCGTCCTCGTCAGTATCGCTGCAGTTATCATTGATGGGTATGACTTTGGGGTTCGAATCAAGGATCTCAAAGTCCCCCAGTCGGCTCTTGGCTATGTTCAAGTTCAGTCAACGCTTTGTTCTTAGGTCATGATGAATATGATGCGCTTTACCTTTGCGCTGGCGCTTGTGGGGTAGAATTTGTGCGTCATCAAAGAGGGAAAACGTTGCCATGCTAAATGACACAGGGGGAAAAGTCTCTGATGCGTCGTATTCCTCATCGTCATGAACGTTATCGACCAAACAACCGTCGACCGCGGCCGCGCAGATGTAGCCCCTGCTTTTCCAAGCGGAACCATCCCCACGTCCAGGGTTTCGACGTAGGATAGTTCCATTTCTGCGTTTGCGGGAATGCTGTAACATGGCGTATGCGGTGAGCATCTGTCAGTGCGACATAATTACGGAATACCTTTTTCTCCCATGCCTTGTCGCTGAGAGGTGGCATGTCTGTGGTGTTTAGGAGGGGGAAAAGTTGGCGTGTTGGTCTGGGCAGGGGGCTCTCTCAAGGCTTTTATGTTTGAGAAAACGAGTCAATAGCTTGACTGACTTTGACTAATGCGGAGCATGCTTGATTTGCATTCACGTCAAGGAGCCGAACCCGAGCAACGTGTGAGTCATTGGCTCACGGAAGCGATGACTACTGTGATGTCGACTCATCGTTGGTCACTATTGGACGTGAATCTACACAGCATGACAATAGCTTTAGGAGCCGTGTAGAATAAACAAACTGGGAAAACCAGCAATCTAATTAACAATCTCCGGCTTTTCGCTGACAGGGTCAGATGGTGTGTCGCGACCGGCGGAAAACTCGATGACACGAGTGTCCCGAATGCGAGTGGTCTTACGGCTATTGAGTCTGTGTTTGCATTAGCTTCGGCCCTAGTCGACCCGCCTGAGCAGAGTGACTCACGCTGCCAGGAGTGAATTTGTATAAACTATTTTGAAATTAACCAACATAAATAAATTAAGATGTGAAATGCAATGCTTACCATCAGCCAGAACGTCGTAAATAGCAGCCCAGAAGACTAGAGTGGAAAGGCTCAGATGTGATTCCATAGCTACGACGGACTGCCTCACAAGTATTCCTCATGACACAAAACTGTTGACATTAGCAGTGCTCATTGCAATCGTAATTGAAGGGACTCACGAAGACAAGGACTAAGACAGCAGACATACTGAGAATATCGACCCCATGGTCAAACCTTCGTATGTGAAGTTTGCTCACCTAGTGGCGAGACCAGTTTCAATTGCCCAAAGAGTTAGACGGTCAGCGATATTGTGTGTTCTAGAAGGGCATCATTTAGAGGAGAGAGACCATGAGACGGTGTAGCTCACTGGTGAACTGTGGTCCGTCTGCGTTCACGCTGCAGGACATACACCAGACCAATCGTAGTTATCAGATCGCAAACAGTGGCTGCAACGAGAGTCGTGATTGTCAACCAATTTCGTGCGTTTTGTGCCGTTCTGTTCGCGGAAATGCTCAGTGCCCCGACTGCATCCACCAAAGTGCCGGTAAGATTCAACATGCTGAGAATGCCACAAAACGCGGCGACCGTTTTGCTTCCTGATAATTTGAACAATCTGTAGATGAAAAACATCTGCGCAATTAAGTTGAAGGCAGCCGTGTTTGAATCGATTGTTATCTACCTGAACAAGAGTGCTAATCAGGGGCGTCAGGATGAGATTTGCGTCCCGAGAGCTGGAGAATATGGTTACACCATCAGGATCCTCGCAGCCTGTAACAGTCAGGGTCCATGTCCAATACAAGGTGCAGATGATATGTGCAAATGTCAGTATCCTGGGGCGAATTAGACCTGGAGATCGATGTTGAGATGCATCTATACATACGTCACGGCTGCCACCTGCTTCAACATTAGCTTTGACTACAACCAAGGCAGACATAACGCACCAGAATTTGAAATGCTCTTCTATCACCTGGAAAGCGCTTACAGTAAGTGTATGTTTGCATCGTCGAGCAACCAAATAAGTAGCTGGCGATCATTGATCCAACCACCGCTGGTCCAATAGTCATTGCTGTTCCAGACATTCTGAAGACAAGCTTAGTGCATTAGATCGACCTAGATTATATATTCATGTGCCTCGCATGCTGTGCATAAGTCACAATAGCACAAAGACTCGGTGAGGCGTTAATCGGTCACCGAGTACTTGAGCGTGCTATTAGGATACTATCAACCTGGATGCATTGACACCTACTGAGCTCCGCACTACAGCAGCCATGGAATCCATCAAAAAATAGTGTCAGGAACGAAAACGTTATCTCGCATAACTTCAAGTTTGACCAAAAAGGCAAAGTCAACTCATAGTAGTCAGCACTCCAGTCAGCTTTGCTATGTAGCCAAGCCAATCGTCGTGGCTTGCTCGGCGTTACCCCAAGAAGCCTAGACGATAATATTTGAGTGAGCCAAAGGGAGATCCCTTGACGTTGCTGTACATGGCGACAACACCCGGTCATATCGCGACCCAGCCAACCGACTCTCCAAGACTACTGTACTTTGTGTAAGGAAACAACCGTGGATTGCGCGTGACACCGCTACAGTTGCAGAGTGAGCAACCTCGTCTAATTGGACAGTAACATCCGAACAATATGGCAGCCAGAAGCGACATAGGGTGCTTGTCGTATGTCGGAGTTGCGTAGTTCTGAGAGACTAGCTTCAACTTGGATTCAAACTTTCGCGGGCGAAATTTCGATTTAGCCATCGGTGGGGCTGATATTGCAACAGCAGATTTTATATCCGCAATGTGCAGCGAGGTGACGGGATGGACAAGTTGCAGCAGGATATAATGGCAATATATGGGAACTATTAAACGAGCAGTGCCAGGCTGCCAGGAAGGTGGCACAGCAACGAAAAGTAGTTTTAGTCACTCTTGAACTTGAATCTTGGGGGAATGTCTATGACGTACCTATACTTCGCAACCGAGCCCCTGTGACACATTACGGTAGGGTAAATTAGCACTATGCAACCAAGGTCCAGTGACACATAATAAAAAACAAAAAAACCACAGTAAGTAATTGTTGTTTGATGTTGTTGAATTCGAAAGTCGCTGACTCATCCATGTGGACCCATATTGATTACCCTTTTCTGACTCGGTTGCTTCGAATCACGTTGATCTTAGTAGTACTTACACTTGTCTCTCGAACAATGTCCCAAATATTCTCGGACGCTGACATCGAAGAGGAGCAAAAACACTTCTCTAATGTTATCGCAACATTCCAACAATACGCCCAATACTCTGCAAGTGTTTTTAATCGTTGCGCACCGCACTGTCCTTATGAATCACTTGCTTGTCATATTTAGCTAGCGGCCAATAACAGGCGAAGAAAAGACATCTACACACTTCCTCAGGGTGACAAAGAACTTCTCGATGATCTTGGGTACCGACAAAAACTTCAAGACGTGGATAGAGCTATTCTGGTCAATGCAGAATTCTTGAAGCTGATTGTTGCGAACCCCGAGATCTTCGGCCATGATCTTGACTCTCCTAAAGATGCAGATGAGGACAAGGCTGGTTGTGTGGCTTTGCACGACCATTCGCATGGTTTGCACTTGTGTGAGAAAAAATCTGATTTGTGCCTAACAATGTCAATGTCGTACAGGTGACGTGCATTCACATTCTCATAGTCACCCGCATCATCACCACAGTCACTCGCACGACCATGCAAATGCCACCCCAGATCTTAGAACTGCCAGTAAGCATCAGCGAAAGTATAAACCTACGGACTTCGACATGGACAAGTTGCGAAGCACTCTGAAGCAATTCGTGCGAGACTGGAGTCAGGAGGTAAACAAACAATTCCTACCCCTTTTCAGCTTATGTAACTTTGGCTTGCATCACAGGGAAAAGAGGAACGGGAAACGTGTTATACGCCAATGAAAGACGCGCTGGTTGCTCATTTCTCGGATAATCCATCCCCGGAGTCAAGGTTAGCTCAGGCTTCAAATTTTCCTCTTGACGATGTAGATATATTAATTCACTAGACAAAATATCCGGGTGCTCGTTCCTGGTGCAGGCCTTGGCCGTTTGGCTTATGATGTTGCTAATTTAGGTTTGTGGAGTTCACATACCTGTCTTCTGAATTACACTTAGTTATTTCGCTAGGGTTCGCCTGTCAGGGAAATGAATTCTCTCACTACATGCTTCTGGCATCTTATCTTATTTTAAACAGGTAAGAAAAGCATGGGTCTGAGTGTACTGCCAAACATTTGATCTTCGTCGCAGGACTGACGCAATTGAACAATACACCATATACCCTTACATCCATTCATTCTCTAATCTTCCCGACCGTAAAGCGATGTTACGCCCAATGAAAATACCTGATGTCCTTCCCTCGGCACTACCAGCCGGCTCGAGTTTCTCTTTGGTTGCGGGTATGATTATTGACAGGTCCTTTGAGTATCGTGGCTTCTCAACGTTTCAGGCGATTTCGAGGAGATTTATGGAACAGAATACGAAGAAGGCGATTTCGAACCGCAGGCGGGGCAATGGGACGCTGTTTTGACGTGTTTCTTTATTGACACTGTGTGGATTTTTGTTCCCGTTCAGGTGTATTCTATCCTAATGAAGCTGCTCCAGGCAAAGAATATCATCAACTACCTTCGCATAATTCACCGGATATTAACACCTGGTGGAGTGTGGATTAACATAGGTGAGGGCAGTCGCTTTGTCCCAGTTCTCCTGCTAACTACATATCAGGCCCGCTGCTCTGGCACTTCGAAAATAATGCAACCAATGATCCATCCATTGAACTTGATCTCGAAGAAGTCAAAATACTGGCTCGAAAAATCGGCTTCGTGATATCTGTAAGTCTTTATATTGCATTCTGCTGTGTAAATCCGACGAGGATAATCAGGATGAACGAACGATAGACACGACTTACACGAGTAATTCCCAATCTATGCTGGGATACGTCTATAAAACTGCTTTCTGGACGGCGACGAAAGCTTAATGATAGATGCACCATGAGCTTCTCTCGTTTGTTGAATGACACGTATTACTATGGTGCAGCCTCATGTGCGGCAGGTAGAATGGTAGCAATTTCGGTTGATGTCGGATTCAGATGAATCGTGCGAGATACGTGCGTGTATTCATCGTCCATTCATCTCTAGTATCAGCAATCACATTATAGTTCTTAATATGCTCTGAGATAGGTTTGTCTGCGCACCCCACATGCCCCGCTTTGATGACTTGCTGTATCATGATCTCTCGCTTTTGATCTCTGGTTCTCCAAAACCATCCCGAAAGATGGATTTCCTCAAGGCTCACCCCGGCAGTCTCAGGTAAGCAGAATAGCCATCCTAGCACGACTCAGTCCTGCGTAGAACTTGGCAGGAGTGATCTTCGGCGACCAAACCAGTTAAGTTCATTTGATATTTAATTTGCGGCAAATGAAACTATCAGCGATGGCATAACTTAATAAGCTTGCACATCCGCGGGTATTTCTTATAATGTAGCACTCACATTGATTTTTTCTTGGAGTCGCGGTCAAAAGGGAGACTCACCGTCACTGCCTGAACCTACACTGGTGACTAGCCCCCTGAACCACGGTTGGAATCGGACTCATTTGGGTCTGATTCGCCCATGGTTCAGTCCACACTAGTCGCGGCGAGCCGCACCAGTACAAGGTTCGCGCATTTACTGAACGGTTCCAAGTAGGATTCGAACTTCAGAGCACGTCTATCTTGCGCTGTGAGCTACTGTGCAACCTTGAACTCTTTTGCTAGGCCGGGTTTGGGTGCTGTGATTCATCCTCTAATAAAATTAACTGGATACAGTCTCAGTAGAGATTCCTCTTATTAGACATTCAACATCAACCCTTTTACCGATACTTTTGATGGGAACCACTATAATCCACAGTGAAACCGGTTCAATTGAATATCGACAGAGCTTTTGTATAGACATCAAAAACTGCAGCTGAACGCCCTGCCGTCACTTGTCTGCGAATGTGTCTCTTACACAGAAAAAGAGAAGCCGTGGACCCTATATCACTGCGAAACCATCATGCATCCCCTCGCCCTGCTTTGATGTCTTGCTGCATCATCATCTCTCGCTTTTGATTCCTCATTCTCTGGCTCTCTCGGATCCCAAAACCATCCCGAAAGATGCCCTGGACCTCCTCGAGGCTCAGCCCAGCAATCTCAGGGAAGCAGAACAAGCAAAACAGCCATCCTAACAGGCACAGCCCTGCGTAGAACCCGAATGCACCGGCGGGTGTAATTTTCGACATGAGAGAGAGGTATGTCGAGCCGATGAGAAGGTTGCTAGCCCAGTTTGTCGCAGTCGAGAGCGACGTGCCGATGCCGCGGACTGCACGAAAAGTCAGTGCTGAACTGACAGGTAGGAGAAATAATGATGCGACCTTCGAGACCGAAGAGCTCGCCTTGCTGCCACGGGATGTTTCCCAAGCCCGTTGCATACGATGCAACGAAGATTATCATCGAGAGAAGGACAATCGCTGACCATGACCTGGAGTAAGACGCGCCATTGACTAGATCGCCACCTGTATGCAGTGTCATATCTACCAAATCCAAGTCCGTTATCTGACCCGTCGTGCAATGAATATAAAACATACAATAGAACGCGATGCTGGCAAGGGTGAGGCCAAAAAACCATGCCCGGTGCAGAGAATATCATGATCCTCCGTCGTCCCACGATATCAATATACTTCAACGCGAAAAGTGTGAATATGAAATTTGTCCCACTGACAATGAGCCCAACCGCCGTAGGCTGGTCGAACCCTATCTCCTGGAAGAGTGATGCAGAATAATACATGAGTGTATTGAATCCACAGAGTTGTTGGAACGCTTGCATGCCGCATCCGATGACTTTGCAACGTAAGTACAGCAAGATTGTGCAAGCAATGGGTATGTCTTACTCAGTGCTCTACGATTTACGGGGACGGTGATCATGGAGTTGAAGCGCTCAAAGAATGTTGTGGAATTTGCGATGTCGATACTCTGCTGTACCGATGCACGAAGAACCTGAAGCTATGGGGTGGTTAAGACTATTTGCCAATGCTCGATCGACCAACGCTAAGAATACCTGCAAATCAATCTGTTCAGCTGTGGCTTGCGAGTAGACACGTTCTAACACTCTGTGCGCGGCCTTTATATTGCCCTTCCGGATAAGTATCCTTGCTGCAAAACGAAGGTCATTGTTAGCCATCCCTCGACAAATAACGTTATATAATTACGAAGCAGTGAAACTCACGACTCTCCGGTAAGAACGCCAAAAATATCAATTGAATACCAGCCGGGACGGTACCAAGTCCAACCATCCACCTCCAACCACCACTCACATTTGCAAAACCTGCATCAATTCCATAAGCAACTACCTGCCCAAAGGTGATCATTACAACGTTCAAAACAACCATGCGCCCGCGCAGGCGTGTAGGTGATAGCTCTTGTATATACAGAGGGGCGATGCACGATGCAAGACCCACGCCGATACCGATGAGGAACCGGCAACCAATCTAGAGTTGGTGGTCAGCGTGTGGTAAATGAAACAATGAGAGCACATGGAGAAGGAAGCATACCATACTCCAAACCGTATGGCAGACTGCCTGTCCGAGAGCTCCGCCGATGAAGATGATGTCTGCAATGCCAAGGACGGGTCGACGGCCCGTCCAGTCTGACATAGCACCGGCAGCAAGGCCCCCGAGTAATGCGCCCAATGTGGTGGCGGACGTGATGAATTCCTAGGATGACGTGGTCAGTGATCATAAGTGCATTGAATTAGGTCTTGGACATCCGAGTCCGGCTCACCTTCTGTCCGTCTGATAATTGAGCTGGCCCAAGATCTCCGTTGATGGTGACTAGAGTACCAGAGATTACACCAGTATCATAACCTGTTGATACATCATATGATCAGTCGTTCACCGTCTTGAAAGTGAAACATACCAAACAACAACCCAGATATTGTACAACAAGCCACAAGAAGCCAAACAAACCAAGTCGTGTGTTTCTCGACCTCTGCTACAACTGCATATTGCGAAACATCCCCAGCGGCATTTCCTCGAACTTCATACAACTCATCTTGTGTGTGGTCCTTCGCTTGGCGCTTCTCGTCAAAAGAAGGCTGGGTCATAACGGAAGATGTAGGCGTCAACGAGTCCTTTGACCACAACTTTGTTTCTGAAACGCGTTCTTATACCTGCTCAGACGCCTGGTGGAGTTGGATATGATTTGGAACACCCATCGTGGAGTTTCTACAGCTGGTTACAGTTTTCTGGTATTATAGACCACGTGGAGATAGTGTCCGGGCCGGTGAGTATTATGGGGTAACACTGACAGTAAAGGACAGCCCAAATACGTAGTACTGGATGACTACTGGCCATGATGGGTCCGAGACCGTGTCCGGGGTGCTTAAAACATGTGTCGAGAAATGATTAGATATGAGCAGTCTTTAAAGTGGAATGGTGGGGAAGGTGCCGCATGGAGCATGAGATCCCCACGAGACGAGCCTACAACTGCGTCAAGTTGGCAGCCCCCACGAGTCGGACATTGAGTGGGACCGCGGCATAGTACGAATCATCGGGATTCGGCAGGCACAATGCGTACAGGTACTCCATTGGTCTTCGGAGACGCCTGCAGATAAAAGGAATGTCTATATATAGCCAAGCTTTGAAGTCGTGACATACTCAAGAAACTTCACGGCTGATCATGTCAAAATCCATATTTCTGTAACGGGAGCTACTGGTGTGTTCTCGCCAGTCGAAATTTAACTCAGTTAACTATCAATCCGAGCAGGCTAATATTATTACTGGATCTGCTGTGCCTGCATTGCGGCTATCCCACCCTCAGGCTAGATCTGATAAATAACTGCACTTATTCGCTCCCCTGATTCGGAGAAGGTCGCGCTGTTCAATAGTGTCGGCGTCACAGTTGTTGTTGGTACCAATAGCGATTTCCATACTCTCAGGCTGACATCGCTTGCCAGCAAAGCGGACGTGGTCTTGGCCTACGTCCGTGTTGAACCTCGAACTTCTAACTGATTGTCCGATGTATCATAGCTAATGCTGATGTCTTTTATGCAGCCAGAGCGATCCTCTTGGGACTGAAAAGAGACCATGAACATGCTATATTATACAGTTCCCATTCTTATTCACACAGTATGTATATTAGCCTATACCATTTCCCCGTTACCTTCAGGAAGTGACACTAATATTTTTCTACGTAGTCTGGAACTGGTGTCCTGATAGAAGATGCCGCCGGGAACTACGCTATGGATGACATTTATCCCGACGTAGACATCCCAATGAGCGAGTCGCTACCCAAGACGCAAACGCATCGTGAAGTTGATCTCGAAGTCGTTGCTGCTGATAAAGAAGGTAATTCTTGGTGCTTTTCCTGTCTATCTTTTTTGTTCATGTGTCACGACAAACACTTGGGAACATGGTTATGTGCGGACATATGGCGTTGTGAATACACCATTGGTCTCACCTGGCGTCCAGAATCCGTACTCCAAGAAAATTCCCGGTCTCATTAAAGCCAGCCTTGACAGAAAGCTGAGTGGAGTTATCGGAGAAGGGCTGAATCTATGGCCTAGTATTCATATCGATGGCGTGGAAACGCTGCACACCTCCGTTTTTGATGCTGCGACGAAGGGAGCAGATGATACAGGTCATGAATGCGAGGGCTATTATTTCGGCGAAAATGGAGAACATCGGGTGGGTGAGATATCTGAGGTCTTGGTGGAATTTTTTGCATGATATGAAATGAGGGAAAAATCCCCAGTCCACCGTCTTCACGGACGAAGAGCTGCTGAGATATTTCGCCGAAGCTCATCCACGATTTTACTTACAACTCAATCAATGATAACTATCGACAGCCTTTGGGCGAGTCTCAAGCCAGAGATCGAGGCAATGGTAGAGAGGCAAAACGCCTAAGTCGACCCCAGTGAAGTTGAGCTGCAGCAGTGGCAAGGGACCATGGTACTTTTCTTTCAAACTTGAGGCTGATATCTTGACATAGTTGGACTACTGTATGCCTTGCGACACCCCATGTACGAACAGAGGCTAAGTTCCAACAGAAAATCGTAGACACAAACTAGACCATGAAACACTGCCTCTCCTTCGCACGGCTCAAAGCTTCGCTCTCGGTAGTTAGATTGCGTCCATGATAGCTTCTGGACACTCGTAGTGAATGCAGTGGCCAATGCCCGGAAGAACTCTGACATTCAGTCTCTCAATGTCACGAGGGACGTGCTCCACATGACAAACAGCGCCAGCCTTCGGATCTGATACCAGCACGGTGACTTTCACATGAGGGGGGATGTTTTTGAAGAGGCCACTGAAAGACCACGGCCTGTTATGCTGTTCACAACAACGGCAGAAGTGTCAGCAACATTCGCCATGTCCATAACTGCAATATTACAGAGAAGATTCCGTCGATAGTGGTGCGGTCGCACATCGAAACTCCTAGTGCGGCTAACACGCAGTCACGTCGTGACCAACCAAACTCACCAACCAGCTCCTCGGCGGTTTTGACATTTGCAATTGCTTCCAGAAACCAACTTTTATCCATTTCTGCTGTCCCCTCCCTTTCGAGGGGGGGATCAAGGAGTATGACAGTGACTTCTTTCGTTTTGGGCAAGAATGGCAAGAGCGAAAGGGCCACTGTGCCTCCAAGAGAACGACCTATAACCACATCGTAGGACGTGTCGTTGATGAAGTATGGTCGGAGGTCCTCTGCAAGGGTGGATATGCGGTAGTCGGTGCCCCGTCTCCATGCATGCCAAGGAGATTCGGAGCCACGACAAAGAACCCTGTGAAAGCCTGTTGAAAACAGAGCATGATCGCCATAGTATCACAAAACCTGACCTTCTGCTACTAATAGCTGAGCGACGCCCTCCCATGCACTCGAGCACGAAGTCAACCTATGAATAAGCAGAGCTTTCCTGGGAGCAGTGGGAGAACCCCACTGGGTTGCCGAAATTGATGGGTACATGCTGGTATGGCCTGGATGATCAGAATTCTGCTAGCGGACGTATGAGTGGAGAAATTCGGAATTCAAGTCTGACTTCCAAGATCGAGGGAGGTGCTAGAAGGGGAAGTAGCACGCAGGGAAAATTGTGCATTTAAGGGGCATACAGCACATACTGACCGGAATAGCCATATGACACTCAGACAAGGTCTTATCCCTGTGTTAAGGGATGCCACGAATAACCCCTTCATCGAAGGAAAGCGCCATGCGGCTGACGGCAAACCGGTTGCAGTGATATGACGTATCTGCTGAAATGCGATAACCACTGGGGTCAACTCAGGTACACGGAGGAAAAATTGATCTCCCCACTCTCGAAATAGGATCATAAGTCTGCTTCACTGCCAGAGGGGCAGCCCGGACCAGCCCGGCTTCTATGTTAGCGCTGCAAAACATTTTGCATCTCCTCCCTACCTTCTCACGGCATGCTGCGAAACGGATAGCTACGCCATCAAAATGCCATCTAGGAGTCATCAAGAAAGTGACTGTATAGCCACTTCGGTGAGACCTTGAAATGACCCTGACACCAGCGAACACTTCTCATGAAATACAAGCGATGACCCTCACCTGCAGTCATGAATGTCGCGGACCCTTCCACTACAATAGCAAGTCATATCGCTGCTTGCACACCATGTTTGCACATTCACCTTGACATCAAATTGTGTTATTTGAAGTCGTCAGCACTGATAAACATATCGTGCCGTCTTCTATTCACATGGGAGGTAATAAGAACTAGTAATCTCAGCCAATAACTCACCATCTTCCCATTCTTACTCACTCGTGCCCTCCGGAATCTGGTCTTTACTTCATTAACAGCCGTCGATGGTGAGGCCTGCTTCGCCAAAGACGAGGATTGAAAGCCTGCCAACGCAAATGGTTTATTTCTCAATGTGTCAGTTTATGCAGGTGTTATAGGCAAATAAACCATGCACCTGTCTTTCCAGAAACACAATCTTCACGTGCAGAGCACTGATCTCGGGGTAATAGAGATGAACATTGCACGCCGGGTCGCGCCCAAACTTGAAGGTACCTATCTCCTCGTCGATCGGAAATGCTGCTAGTTGTTCAACATCAGTCGTCCGTTTCATTAGCCGCAGTGTACCAAACAGCCTTATTTCGCTGCCGTGACTCCGTCCATGGTAAATTAGTAATGAGCCAGTTCAAGCATGACTTGAGCAGAGTTTGTTCGGTTCGCGTCACATGTCGGAAAATTGTATTTTTAGTTGGCATGCCTTACAGCTATTTTCATATCGATAGACCAGAATCTGGAAAACTCACTTAGCCGCTTTTGTTTGTTGTTGGAGCGACACCAAACAGAGGCGCGCGCACTAGCTACTTTTGTAACTTGCTTGTGGAATACTAGTACTATGATGACTGCCGACCATCATCATGATGCACGGAAACCAGCGACATATACCAGATGCTGCGAAGCAGCAGTGGTTTGTTATGTCCACACATGGCATGACATTGAAGGCCATAGCGCAAGTGACAGGATCCAGCCATCAAACAGTCAATAGAGTTCTTCGGCTCTCACAACTCACGGGCTCTGTTGTTCGAAAGCCTCTGGAAAGTGGTCGTCCTTGTCTACTTACAGCACAGGACGTTGCAGTAAGTGAAGGCACAAAAGTATTTTGAATTTGATACCTAACTGTGACAGTACCTTATTTCATGTGTCGAACTCACTCCTGACATATTTCTATCTGAACTACAAAGTGCTCTACGGGAGGTGAGGGATATTGAGGTGTCCCTTGCCACCATCGAACAAACACTACATAGGCATGGATTGACTCACAAGCATGTATGTAAAATATGTTTGTGCATGTAAATTCTGACAGTGTCACACAGGTGACTCGAGCTGCAATCGAGTGCAATGAAGACAAACGTGACCAATATCAAATTTTTATTGCTGAAAATTTCTGTCCTGACCAGCTCGTCTTCGTAGATGAATCTGCCTGTAACCGAATTACAACTAAGCGCCCAAATGCATGGTCACTGACGGGAGTGCGTGCTCGTCGGCGTGATTATTTCATTTGAGGTCAAAGGCATGTTGAAAATTTGTTAATGAGGGTGTCTTGACAGTAGTTTGTCTTTTCAGATATTCTATTCTTCCTGCTATCTCACTATGGCATCTTACATCTCGATATCCAAGATCATTCATATACTGCAGTGACATTCAATGAATTCATAGAGGGTTTACTCGACAATATGAACCAATACCCTCAGAAGAACTCCGTTATCGTGATGGACAATGCTAGCATACACAAGTCGGCATATCTCAAAGAGATGATCTGGCGAAGGTATGTTATCCCAATGTCACTGTTTGAGTAGTGTCATTGACCATTGATCTTTTATCAGGGGGATGCGCCTTGTTTATCTGCCACCTTATTCTCCCAACTTCAACCCTATCGAAGAAGCCTTTTCGGCCCTCAAAGCTTGGATAAGGCAGAACTGTAACTATGCCAGAGGTGAATTAACAGGCGAAATGACCTGTGATCCTTATAGCCTGCTGTGGGTAGTGATGGCCAGGTCCGGTCCTGAACCGCGGTTCGAACCTGACCAAAGTCCGGTTCAAAGTTCGGGGAATAGGGGGAACCGAACTGTCGGTCCGGTCCACGGTTTGAGGACTTGCAGAATTCTCGAACCTGGTTCAAACTGATTGTCGGGCAAAGGGATGGTATGAAAATTTCGATCTCTAAAATTGACGCAGTCCTGCTGCGCTCGTGACACGTCTGTGACACGGCATATGTAATGCGGCACAGCTGTGAGAATCCTTTCGTATTGTCAAGCCTTTGCCGCTTGCTATCAATTGCCTATTTCGTGATACCGCTAATGCACACACCTGGCTGCTATGTCCCTCCATCTTCTTCAACATCACCTGTCTTCAAGTCCCACAGATGAAGCATCTTGTCAAGCGAGGCTGTAACTATCCGCCGGCATTAGGCGTAGTCAAGATGGACTTTGGAGGGATTATGGGTGTCTTGCTCTAAGCTGCAGAGGTGCATGTTTTATGCGTTTTATGTTGCTTCACCAACGATTCAGAAACTTGCATCAGTGTTTTATGATTCAGCATACAAGGTAAGGACTTGCAATGTGGGGAATGCAGCATCTGTGATCTTGATACTTTACAGGCCAAAGGTGCATGGGATACTGCTATAGAATCGAGCAAAAATGGCTACACTGTCATCAAGGTTCAGAACTGGTGTGTAGCTTTTCTGGCTTGTCAAGTGTCATTCTTAATACCTTCTCACTATTTGCCCTTGTCATCCCAATTCGAATGTGGTCGATGGCACTGCAGCACCGAGTCGGCTTGGGGTCAATGAAGCAGCCTCATCAATGAGCCAAAGTCCTGCTAGAGGTACTCAGTGCGTAACCCTGGAGCAGCTAGGATAAACAGGGTTGCTGAATGGGTCTACAGGCGCCACTTGAGTGATCAAGTACTTCTCTAGGGTCCTGGAAACAGCCATCTTTCAGCGATGGCATCAGGAACAAACAGACTTTCCCCAGCCGCTATGATCTTGACAGCACTACTGAGATCGAGTGTGCGGTGGGGAGAAGAGTCCATCTATTCCTAGTCTCCCTGCGTACTAATTCAAAAACATTCACCCCATCTCACTACCAGTCCCTGAAACACTCATGAACCTTCCCCGCACAAGCACCGACTCTGACGCCCCACAGTTGTCTCTTGATTCTTTAGCAAGCAGCCAGTTCCACTCCTCGAGTGGGTCTATCCAAATCCTATTGAATGCTGTTTGAGAAACAATCAAAGTCAAAAGTCAAGGCCTAGGTGTGTTTTTATTGTGTCCATCGTGCGCATATACTTACAATTCTACTATCTAAAGGCTCAGGCCCATCTGCAAAGGAGCAACAGTCACCGACATTGATCTGCGCGGTAATAGATATCCTTCCACGTCATATCTAACATTTCCCAATCGAACGAAAATGACGCTAACTCCACCAATGTTTTACTAGTGGCTCTACAAATCACTGATAACTCGCACATCGGTGCCAACAGCCATATGATGTGAAAGCATAAACACAACTCACTGTGCAGAAAGGAAATTTCTGCCATGTAGGTGAGTCATATTATCAAATCCAGGAAAATGACTGATGCTCACGCAGAGCCCCCCAAGTGCAGTCCTTGCAATTTATGTCAATCCAGCAAAATAAGGGACATTTCTGGGCGCTAGCGTCGATGGGCGTGGCAGAGATTAATGATGCAGCGACGGACGATGAAAGATGACGAAGATGATGCACTAATGTAGTACTAGTTTACCTGTTTGTTTGATTTTTGTACCTAGCTATGTTTGCAACTTAGGAAATTTTTTGTCGTCTTTTTTTGGTCCGGTTCTTGGTTCGAACCCTTGCTGAACAGGAACCGGACCATTATTGGACCGAACTGATGGTCCGGTCCACGGTTCTGCTTACTGAGAGAACTGGACCATAAGTCCGGTTCTCAGTTCTCTGAATTTCCTAGAGAACCGGTGTGGGTAACACAACAAAGGTGACTGCAAGTCAGATGACAAGCAAACACTCTCTATGTTGGGTCTTGATATGCCGTGCGATATGTTCGACCCTTAAGGGAAGCAAAGAAAGCAAGGATCCACGAAATGATGCTGATCAACCCTGGTCAAAGGCGACAAAAGGGCGATGTAAGCGTGAGAAATGCGCTGAAGGCGCGCGCAGGAAAGTGAAACGCGAAAATGCGCGAAGCGCGGGGAGGCGAAAGTGCGAAAGGTGGAAATGCGCAGAGAACTGGAATGGTAGTGCGAGCAGCGCACAAGTATAGAGAGACGATAATATGGTGAAAAGCGCGGATATAGATGGATACTGATACTGGCACTAGCTTTAGACTGATGCTAGGGCCTTAAGACGACGACGGACGCATGCATTGCATGGAACTAACTGCCAAGTACATGGTGGTAGAAAGATGTGGTAGTAAGCTCTGGTGTAAAACCAACATGAAAGTATGTAAGTTCTACCTAAGCGCTCTCCCAGGGCTTGGAGCCGAATAGGGAGCGCTCTTAGTATGTAAGTGAGGTAAAATGATGTAAAGTAAGGGTGCATAACGAAATACAAAGTGTAATAGGCTAAATATGGTCTGATAATGAAAAGGGACACACCTAGGAACTGGTTGGACGATGGATGGATGCTCCTGGATGATGCGCGATGGAGTGCGCTTAAGTGCGAGAAACGCGCTAAGCACGCGTGCGGGAACGCGAAATGCGAAAGTGTGAGAAAGTGTCACGAATTCCAAATACAAATCATTATTCTTTCCTGAACACTCATAAAACACCTGTTAAGCGCCCGACATTAGCGCCCGTTGTTAACGCTCAGTCAGCGTCTGTACCAATAACCTTCACAAACCCTAACCTGAATCCATCCTTTACATTTCCGAACTTCTCTATTCCATTAGCGCCCACTACTCTTATCTCCGACATTCCCGATTTCGACTTCCTTTCACAGGCGATTAAATCACGTGACTCTAGAACCTTCGAGAACTCTTGCACAGCTGCAACACATTTCATGACATCATAGGTGTAGTTATATTTAGATCATCATACGATTCCCTTTTCTATTTAATGATTGGCTAGTTAGTTCAGATTCAGATTCAGTCTCCGCTTCAATATATGTATATAGGTAGCTCGTTGTAGTCAGTAGTTCTTCAGTTCAAACCTCTTTTGTATTAGCTTACTGCTAGCAATCCTAAGACGTCCCTGCTATCCTTTCCTCCTTGTTGTGATATCCTTGTTTGAGTCCTAGTCTCTGCCCCTGCGTTAATTCGTTATAAGGGTTGTGACATTAGGTTTGAACTATAGGGGACTCCGACTCCACGCATTACCGCTTGCACCTTTTTCTCTTTGATCTGAGCATCTTGCGATTATTCGCGATCTTCAATCAAACAGAACCGTTACACATTTTACATTGCCCAGCTTAACAGCTGCGACCTTTGATTCTATCACTCTCCCCTTTGCTCATTTGAGCACATTCATACCTATCCGCTTTCGTAGTTAGTAGTCCTATACCAGGCCCTGCCTTACACTGCAGCCGCCAGTATACGGAGGTGTTCACGACATTAGGCGTGTCACTACAACTTTGAGTGCTGGCCCAAGACCCTGCCTGCTCAACGTTACTATAATTTCCTTTTCACCTATCACCTTTTCTTCGTATGATATGTAGGCTACTCTATCCGAGTATTTAGAGGAATTTCCTAGTCCAGACTCGGTCGCTTGTAAGCTTTGGCTGGAAGAGCACCTTGGCATTCTAGTTTTCCCACTTGGAGAGTATAGTTGTTACGTACAAATCTTTCTAGTCAGTATCTAGGGAAGAGTCAGTTGGGTTTTACCAGGACCCTTTGACCCTGAAGTACGAGGTAGATCCGATCAGATTTCGGGGACCGCTTCAGTTTTCCATTTACGTATTCCTTTTTCCCATCTTCCCTTCATCATCTTTCCTTCTCGGAAGAGCCATTACGACTAGCTCTTCACAGACATCAGTAAATCGGGTTCCAGAAAACAACTGGTACTATGTCTGAACCATCCCCACCAAGAATGCCTAGCAGCAGCGAAGAATTTGTGCAATACGTACAGGAACAAATTGCTGCAAACAATCTGTTATGGCAGAATCAAGTTACGGTTTTGCAAAACAAGAATGACGAGCTAACAACGAAGAATGAAGATTTAGCTCTACGGATTCAAATGCAACAAGCCAAGATTGATAAACTCACCTCATCACCATCCTTCGGATCATCCGCCGCCTCTGCCACAGCCTCAATCAAAATGGCTAAACCCACAGAATTCACAGGTGACAAAGATTCCATCGATGCCA